AAAAAAAAAACAATATTCGAGAATGCTCTTAACATCCTTGCGACAGAAACATCGTAATTGTTAGAACGATGCTTTCCCAACAAGCCCTTTGTTTTTTGGTTTTTGCCAAAATATTAAAACTAAGCATCAAGATAAGGAAAAAGGGGTCATAAGGTCATAAAGAAACTGGCACATAAGAACGCCGAACCCTTTGAGGGTTTTACTATACTGACCTAGTACCATCACCCTGACTTGGAATTTCTCACCCCCCAGATAATAACCCCAAAAATGTTCCACAGTGTAATTGATCTACAATGATTATTTAATAACTTCATATTCAAACTTACATTTCTTACTCGATAATGCATCATATCCGTCAGAGGTTACAATTTGTGTGTCTTCTGTACATTAAAACAATAATATGTATGAAAAAGCAAATTGAATACCTTATAAAATATTACCTTGACAAGATACACAGTCCGCAGACTTTTGAACTTGTGCTCCAGAGCATAACGAACCACCATTCATAGGAATGGGATTATTACAAAAACGAACTCTTTTTCGACCTTGACTTAATTTTCCTAAACACTTGCATTCTCTCCAAGGGCTCCATGAACTCCAACCACCATTTACTAAGGAATAAAGACAAATGAAAATTGATTAATATTGTAGGATTATGTTAAAGCCTGTTTTAATTTTTCATTTGCTTACCGTAGACTATTAAAACAGCTGAATCCGAAATTCTTTTCCCGGCCACATTCTCAGCATGACATGTATAGTTCGCCATGTCCTGAATATTAAAAATAAGTATATTTTTAAAACATTTTGTTTTTTAACAGCAAGATACAAAATTATGATACATATTTTATTTATGCTATCAAAAATTATATACAAATATAATACGAAATGTATTTTGTGTATTTAAAAAGAATCCGGATTAGTTAGCCAACCTCAAAAGGAAAATATTCAAGTTATGAAGTTAAGGGTAGTGAGTTTTCAAAAAAAAAAAACACATTAATTTTTATTTTTTTTTTTAAATTTTTTGTAATATCAAGTCGAAGCCTTATTTAAGGAAAATATGTTTTTTATAAAGTAAACAATTTTAAGACAAACAATTAGAAATTAAAAAAAACATATTTTTAAACACAATCCCCTGGACTCTTACACCGCCAATACCGTTTTCGTATTTATATTTAAATATTTTCACTGTTTTGAACATTTTATGATAATAGTATTAAATTTATATCATATATACATATATATAAAGTACCTGCAAAGATACTACGTCAAAAGTTATTGTCGTGGCATCAGTAGATATAACTGTTTCGTGATCATTAGTATTTACAATCGGCGCATTGTTTTTGAACCATGTTATTTTTGGCTCTGGAAATCCTCCCGGAGGCTCGCAGTGCAATTCCGCTTTGGAACCCAGTTCAATTTTCAGTGATGTTGGCGAGGAAACAAAATGTTTTCTTATATCTACAAAATCAATATTTATTTT